TATATCTGTAAATATTTTTCAAAACAAAAAGTTGGGGGGGATTAAGCTCCTCCTTGGAGGTATCTAAACAAAGGTTACATCAATCCCATCATTTGAGATTATATATGCAGATCATAATAATAGCAAATTGGCTCTCCATTCTCTTCTTTCAGTCTTTCTCCATTCCTACAAAATTCCCACTTCTTTCAAAGGCTGCAATCAGCTCAGTGGCATAAACAATAGTAGTAGAGTGTCTTAATTTATCTTACACTGGTAAATGTCACAAAACCGAATCCATTTTTCCTAGCTCTCTAAAATCTAATGCTGCTTTTGCAATGGCCCACACCTCCTGGCATAAGTAGCAGCACGATAAAAAATGGAAAAAAGCAATACTTATAACTAAATACAACAACAAAAGGTAACAACTGCCAATCTGCCCCTATATTGACAGTAAAGCCAATTCCTAAGATTTCTAATACTGATGTTGGGACAATCACTTTTTAGAGGTGGGCAAAGGTATTCCCATTATAATTTACATGTCTATCTGTAATAAGCAAAAGGAAAGGGGACAACATAGATAAGATAAATTTGAAAATTGCAGACAGTGTATATTTACAGTTAAATTTCTTTATAGAACATATATCAAAAAATGGATATTTATACCTCTTTGAGAATTAAAAATAGAAATAATGCCTATTTTAACTAGATTTCAATCTCACATTATCAAATCACTTAAAATTTGAAGCCTATTTATTATAAGTCAACCTTATAAGAGTACAAACTATGTCAGAATTATAAAATATAGATTCCATTTGTTCATTCATTCTACAAACATTATTAAGCACATATACTACTAAACTATATCTGATACTTCTACTGGATCAGGGACTCAATGTTTTGGGTCAAGCCATCTCCAATCCCTTGAAGTCTGTACTTGTTCTTTGTACCATTTTGGGGTTTCAGGATTGCATGTCTTTCCTATTTCTGACTAATAGGCAATGAAATGGCCAGAAGATTATGTTTAGAAAATGACTTTGTTTGGTAGATAAGAAGAAGTCAATTTAGCATCCTATATTAATCTCTAAAATTCAAACTGAAAATGTGGGAAAGAATTCAGTCAAACAAAAAGAGCAAAGGTATTAAATCGGCAAAGACTATCAATATAAAGTTCAGTAATAATCACTGATTTTTTTAATTTAAATAACTCTGTATCCTAAACTAAACAGCATGTTTAACTTCATAGCTCAATTCAGAATAAAACAATATATTACAGTTTTATGGTCTTCCTGTGCATATTCATCTTGTGTATAATCTTTCTAATTATATCTCTTTCCTGATTAGAACCTACAACTATTCCTCAAAACCTATCAGATTAAGTCCAGATTCCTCACCCTTGCTTCAGTGTATCCACACTACTACCCACGTTTCCAGTCTTTCAATCTTTCCCAACTATCTCACTTATTCGTACCCTACTCTCTGTCTTTCCCACAATTTATTCACTGTCCGCAGGCCCTTTTAGAGGCTACTTCTTCCTCTGACTAGTACAAGTTCCATCCCAACCCAGATAACATATTTATCCTCTATGACTCACCTCAAGTCTCACCAACTTGGGGCTTTACCACTATCTTCCTATTCTTTGCTCCCTGAGGTTGAATCTGACAGTTCTGCAAGATCCCCAACTTAATCATTTGCAGAGTACTCCACTGTTATCATAATTACAGACTCACTTAGCTACCTTGCTGGTAAGACTATAAGCTCCTCAAGGATAAGGACTCCTTTTACATATCCAGACTGATCACAACTCTTGCCTAATAAAGGCTAAATAAATGAACCAGAAACCAAGGTTTCTCACTAGGGCTCACAGTGTTCTTGTTATAAGTTTATAGAACACTTATTTATGCATTAGTCCTGGAACTGAATGTCTGCCCATTTGAAAAGCAGTCCATCTACAATATTTCTCTTAAATACTTACTGTTCTCTGCATTATACATTATCTGTGAACTTGTCTTATACCCTATTCTCTGTGATGTTCTAAGTACTTTTTTTTTACTTACAACCCAACTGAAGAGAGAGGAAACTGAGGCACAAGAAAGTTAAATAACTTGACCAATGAGACACAGCTAGCAAGTGATCAAACAGGGAATTCAAACCCAGGCCTAATTTCTGAACCACTATGCCATACAATATAAACAGCAATTCCCCAAACATGAGCCCAAAAGTGCTTATCCAAGTGACAGGAACAGGTTAGAAATATGTCTTAGTCTTCTAGCAGACTATTTCATAGTAATTTTAAGCATTTAAACAAAAGTTTAATTTAAAACTGTGTATCCTATAGAATTATTCTCTTTCTATAGGGATTACTTAATACATTTAAATATAAGATGGTGCTTTGTGAGGTTTCTCAGTAGTATGCTATTTGGGGTACACTGTAAAGACAAAGGGAAAAGTCTAATAACAACTAAAAAGCATTTTAAGGAAGAGAAAGATGTCCCTATAATATAATGAATGGTACCACTGTGCTTAATGTTAAAAAGTTTCCACTAAAGTTCATTTTAGCCAAAATGAAATGACTCTTACATATACTAGAGAATGAAACAGATTCCAAAATATCCTGAATTTGTAATACTACCAATTAAAATATTCCCTTTGTATCCTTTTTTCATGATTACTCTACCTGTCATATTCTCCCTCACTGGAAACAAAGTTGTCTTTATGCCACTCATGTTTCTAATTAAGTTTCAAATGTTTTCCTATATTAGCATGAAACAAAAAAATTACCCCTTTCAATCACTTTGATCTACAGAAATGGACACTTCATGTGCTTCGATCTAATAACTTTCATAAATTCAACATATTAAAAAGGGTAGAGGTACTTAACAAAGTTATGATTGTCGCCTCACTGTAATATTTCCCTGGTGGCATGCAAAAGAATAAACAGTTTATACCATTTCCAGACTCAATAGGAAAGAAAATTAAAAAGTAATCATTCTTGTGCAAAAACATTCACAAGACATTGTTAAGTGAAAAAGACTAAGTTACAAAACAGCATGATACCACTTCCATTTATACATTACAAACACAAAATATTAAAACTTTGCTTTAGTAAAATGTAGTATTTCTGTATTTATTAAAACAATTTAAAAGAAGTTAACCTTTGTTTAATTCTCTACCACAAAAACACAATATACAAATGAGTCTGCATATGCAATCTAAAGGAACCATAAAAAATCTAAATAGCCTACATCTTTTTGTTAACTCAGTAACAAGGTCCATAAAAAATAACAAAACAACTTAAATTATTTCTAGGAACACTGATCATGTGCTTTGTTGGTATGGATAAATAACTTTACTCCATACATCAACTAAATAAGCCTAAATAACAGTCGGGTTTGATTTCATCATCATTATAAAATGATGATTTATGCTGCCAACAAATTAAGACCAGACCAAAAAGTTAAAACACAAGGGATCTATATGGAGTAGAGAAATAGGAGATTAAGAGTCAGAAACAATCATGTAAAATGAAGAAGAAACTAAAGCAAACAAAAATGCCATATTTCTCTACTACATGTGTAAAAAATTTTAAAAGAACAAAAAAATATGTTTTGGTACTTACATGGACAAATATAAATATTATAAGTATCTTCTACAAGGTGTTTTACTTTTTAAATTCTGATACAGAAATCAGATGTTTAAAACTAATTTTACCTGAGTTCACCAACTACATGAAGTGAGCTTTGAGATGTGTATAATTCTGAGATTTTGCTAATTAGCCAGCTAAGTAAGCAATCTTACCCAGAACAGGTTCTTATACTTATAAACCAAATACTCTAAAAACTATGGGAGAAAGGTTTGAGTTGAACAAATGGAACATAAAGTAAACAGCTCAATTAGTCCACTGTGGTTTACTGCCCTCTGGCTGCTGTGGCAGGAGATATCACAGATTTAAAAAATGGCTGCAAAGAAAAGCTAGGAAGGTGTTAAGCAGAAACTGGCAAGAAATCCTTTAGGCATATTTAGACATTTTAGAATAGACCCTCAACTAAATACATTAGTTAGTTTAACTCCTTCCTTTAAAAAAAATTAAGCATATCAACTAACAAAATATTTCAAACACTATCTGAAATCTTTCAACCACAAATTAACAAAATATAGAGTAATTTAGACACAATAAAAGCTGGCTCTAGGAGACTAAGTCAAAAAGAGTTAATGCCCTACCCTAACTAAAGATCAGAATTAGTCCTGATTTAGAAAAATTCTTTAGATGGAAAACGTTTAGGTGAAGAGGTGAAAATTTTTTTACTAGAAATTCAAAGAATATTTATAAAAAATTGCCTCTGGTTATTAATCTGTGGTAAATACAAAAAGCAGCTCAGAATAATGAACCTTACATTAATTCAAAGTTTCCAGATATCAGACATAATATGAAATTTAAAAATAGGCAACACTGGAGCAAATATTTCCAGGAATCACCTAATTACATAAAAAGCAGGAACAAAGCACAAAAAAACTTGCTATGTCAAAATCAGAGAAGATCCTTTATATTAATGTTTCTTCAAAATACTATCCGATGTCATCTTATAATTATGTCCAACAAGGCTTGCATTAAGTTTCTATTAACACTTCATAATTTTCCACTGGAATTCAACTGCCAATAAACCAAAACAGTCACAGTCCAAGAAAAAAAAAAATTCATTTCACTGACTCACATTTCACTATCATTTTGTAACAGTGGATTTTAGCCTCAATTCCAACCCAAACACCCAGGAGGACATTATGCTTTTCCTTGAGTAAGAGTGGCTCACAAGGTTCCGATTTCAAGCATGACTGGGAAAAGACAAGAGAATTTGGAAAAAACAGGGGTGGGAAGAAGAGGGGTGAGAATGAGGATATTCCTTTTGACACACACCCATTAAACACTTGGATTTTTCTTCTCAGCAGGTCTTAATCTCTTCAGAATTTATCATTATTCAAAAAGTATACAATGCAAATAAGTTAAAAACAAAAAAGAAAAAACTTACCCTGCAGTTCATGATGTATTACACCCACTAGGTTGGGTTCGTCTCCCCACCAGAATATCCATAACTCTTTGCAATCTGGTTTGACATCACGACGCCATACACACAGCAAGTTGGCTTGCAGACAGCGGATAAAACTTAACAGGATTGGATCATCTTGGGCTGGGGCTGAAATTATGGGTCCACAGTCCCCATGCCCTCCAAAATTGTACCTACGCCATTTGATTCCCGTGAGTTCCGCCTGGAAAAAGACAAGAAAGTTACTATAGTTTTGACTGTTCTTTCCACTTAATGAACACTAAAAACAGGCTTCCATACAGATAAGCAAATTTGCTAAAATAAATATTTACAGTACACCTCATGTTGTAAGATTTCTCCCACTGAAGAATGTATGTCAATCTCTGATTTTAAGGGGGGAAATTTTCATTTCTTTTCATTTTGACATAGTTCTTTAAATTAAACACCAAAAAAACAGCAAACAGATAATCATCACTTCCTGTTGAACCACTTTCTACCTAAACATTTACTATAAAGTCCCTAAATATCAAGCTATTTTCTATATTATTATTCCTTATTTAATTCATAAATTATATTTAGAACTCAGGTAAGAGTTTAAAAAATAAGTTTGTACAATTGAAATAATTTCTTTCAATGAATGTCCACAATTTCTTCCCATTCAGAAGCTACAGTTTAAATCCTTTTTAATCAGGGAAACAGTATGCAGTACCATAGTGCTTCATTATGAAAGCCAAAATAACCTGCTAGTAAAACTGATAGAAAGTTATTAGCAATTTATTCATGTTATTTAACGTGCAGTACACAGAAAAGCTTTGCTTCTGTAATAATTCCATAACATAGTTTGGTCTTCTGCTTTTTACACACACTTTAAAACTTGGGAACTTTAAACCAGTGAAGAGCAGATCCTGTATCTTTGTTCCTTTACATACATTTGTATTTTAAATTTTTTTTAATCTTAAGTTAAAAGGAACTAAACTTCAAAGTTGTTTCAACACAAATGGAGCTGAATTCTTCATGTAACTATAAACTATAACTATGTATTCAAAACTGACAGTAAAACTGATTCACAATATAATTCTGTATCAAAGAGTCCATGTGTCCCTTGCATTTAATCTTTACTCATCTTCCCCCTCTCCAACCTCCCACCACCACTAAGTCAGTAACTTTTGTCAAGAAGTTGTTTTTTCAAAAATAAGTACCACAGGGGAGAAAAATAACCATATTTTCTACTAATTAAACTGAAACAAATTTAAAGTGCTAAAACAATCACTATAATGAACACATTTAAGAAAAATACACCAATTTTCTTCAATCCCCAAAAAAGCTCCATTTAAAAATGATTCCAAAAATAATAATAAAAACACTAAAAGTGTCTGAAATTCACTAACTTTTCCTTTCACATTATGAGAAAATGGAAATCTAATTCTTAATGAATATTCTTAGTTTCTGAACGCTGATACTGGGAGCATTTAGGCTTACTCTTTGTGCCATTTGGTTTCCTCTGACTATAAAAGCACAATGCAGTCAATGAAAAAGTACAAAAATAAACAGCAAAAGTAAACTAATTATGTCAGAAATAATTATTTTCCGTAATCACAGCAGAAATTATTAGCATCTTAAGTATTTACTTCCTATTTTTCTGTACATTTTTAAAGCTAGAATCATATTGCATGGTTTTATATTTTGCTTTTTCACTTACAAATATTTTATGTATCACTAATTATTGTTTAAAAACAATTCTTGATGTTTTCATAATATTCTATTCACTGTAGAAAATGATTCATTATATAATAACTGGACAATCTTCTCTTTTTCACTATTATAATTACTATAATTGATGAACATCCTTGAACATTGTTATTTTCCTGATTATTTCCTTAGGAGAGATTGTTTGACATAGAACTACCAGAGAATATGAATACTTTAGGACTCACAGGTGAGTGCCACCATACTGCTTTTCGTTAGTCTTACCAATATAAATAACCTCCTCCCAAACTGCATATCATTTAAAATACCTGCCAATTTAATAAAATGCTATACTATTTAGTAGTCTCTTTTCCACTTAGAGGAAATCATTATCATATATTTGATAAATATAACCTGGGGCCAGTCTTCCTGGGTTTGATTCCCAGCTCCATCTATACTCACTAGCTCTAAGCAGTAAGTACCTAGCAAATTATTTAATCTTTGTCACTCAGTTGCCTCACAGTAAAATGAGAATAATGGTATTCATAGAGAGTAGATGAGTTAGTATATATGAAAAGCACTTATGACAGTTCCTGGGACATCACAAAAATTACAGATACTGTTACCATTACTAGCAGTATTAGCAGTACTATTTCCCTTTAGTTGTCTGTTCACATCCTTTGTGTGTTTTTCTATCATACAAGTTCATTTTTTCAAATAAAAGCCGTGTGTGTGTATGTTTTAATCAGAAAGCCTAAGATGAATTTTTAAATAAATGTCAAAGAGGAAACTAAATTAAAAGACTAAGGGGGGGCCGTTAAAATCAGTAAAGTTAAGTAGAAGACTAACTTTTCTTATTAACACCTAAGCTTTCTGTGCCTAAGGATCTTGAGGAAGTGAGAGGAGGAAAAGAGAGAGAATTAAAAATATACCAATAAATGTGAATCACTAATATTCATATTAACCATATTTAAAAGGTTGGAAAATTAAGATATGTCAGAGATATATACACCAGGTGAGTCAATCCCCCAGAAAATCTACAAACAGCAATTTACTCACTAGAATACTTTCACCTGTGTAACACCCACCATGGTTCAACAGACAAAATATTTGGCTTTGATTCAGGAGAATGGTTTCCTAATCCTAGCACTTCCACTAACTTCCTATCAGTGCTTCTACGGTCTCAGTGGTAAAAGGAAGCTGCTGCCACCTGCTCTGTATCTTTATAGAGCTGTTCTAGCAAGTGATATAACACAAATGCAAGTGACACACAACATCAAGACTACGAACTTAATCTCTTCACAGCTAATTCAGCCAGAAGAACTAAAAAAAGTCTCATTATTTTAAAACAATTTATCCCTCTACCTTAAAGATAAAATTAAATATCATCATACCAGTCTTCATTGGAAAATTTAACAATGAAACGCCATTCAAGCCTAACACAGATAACTAAGTATAAAATGAAGGTTCAAAGACTTTGCTTTAAATTTTGAATTAATATTTGATAAGAGGAAAAAAGACTGAAACACTTCATCCATGAAGAAAAATTCCTATCATGGATGTATATTCAATTAGATATTAAAGTAGGTCCTCATACACTATGATCATGTTCATAGTTAAAAATCAAACCCACACAAAGTTCTATTGACCCAATTTCTCACAAATGTACATTTCCAAGACTCCAAATTCTTGAAGCAACTCTTTAAAATATTTCTTGATGCAAATTATCCCCCAAGTGCAATTATTTCTCACTGCCAAAGATGAACAATCCATATTTATGTTAAAGTTTAAGATTATATGGTTTTTAAAACATAAAATCAAAAAAGATAAAATATACAAGGAACAAAACCAGTACTGCATATCATTTATTCATCACCTGTTTAATACCAGACACCATACTAGTGTCTTCACATATAATTTCCAATATGAGGCACTATACTAGAGTTTTCATATATCGTTTCTAATCTTCACAAACAGACAGGTAAAGAAATTAGAACTCAAAAAGGTTAAGTAAGTCTCCCATAACAACATAGGTAGCAAACGGCAGGTCCCAAATATAACTGGATTTAAAGCATAACTGAATTTCAAGCATAAATTCTTTCCACTCTGCCATGGTGCTTCATATAGCTAAAGGTAAAAATTAGCCCTAGAGGATTATAAAATAGTACAAAGAAATTGTCATCAACTCAGTTTAGCAATGACAAGAGCTCATGGCCACACTTTCTAATTTAGGAAAGTTCATGAATCCTTCTTTACTCTTCCTGAGTTACCAAGAAAACTATTATGAGTCCCACTATACCATCCTATAAACAGAAGACTTAAAATTTCACTTCGATCATATGCCTTCTTTTACATGTTACCACTATAAGATTGAATCTGTACAAGCTAATTCTTAGAGAATATGTATAACAAACCAAGAAAATAACTATTCCAATAGCAAGAGAGACCGGAGGGAAATTTTCTCAGCAATGGCTGATATCCAACGTACAGGTAGTCAAGGTCCTCAGGAAACTATACTTAAATGACAGAAACTCCCCTGGCCTAAACAGAAGTTCAATTCAAAATGGTTCTCGTTAACTAAATTACAACAGAATCAGGATAACTGCACTTTCTTATGGCATAAATGTATTTAAAGAAAATTTGTATTGATTCTTAATGTCCTATTCTTTAGCTACTATACATAGGAAATGAGCTGATAAATTTTCCCAGTGGAGGTCACTTATTTGCATTGACCCACTGCATTCAGATCCCTCATGACCAACAGCATATAGTTGCAATGTGGCTCTCAAAAGTTAAACTGTATTTAGAGGTAATGGAATAGAGTAAAACTAACATGACTTGAGAAGAAGGAATCAAGGATGTAGTATTATGGAGAGACTACTGATTGGAAGCCAGGAGATCTAAGTTCAAGTCCTAGCTTTTCAACCATTTACCTGTATGATATTAGGAAATCTCCATCTCAGGGCATCTCAGCTTCCCACCTTGTAAGGGGATATGGTTGACCTAGACATCATAAATGAGTTCAAGTCTCCTGGCCCAGGCTAATTACATCCCGTCAACAAAGGCAACTTGTAAATGAGACTAAACCCTTATTAAATGCCTTATAATGATCAGCAGGAATAGGAGAGCTGCCAGAAAACATTTAAGTTTTCAAGGAATAGTTGAAAGAAAGATTTCTCAAACTCCAGAACAATTAGCTTAGTATCAGTCCTGGGCAGGAGTCTAGGATGGTGTGCAGAAAAGGCAACTGTGATCATTTGGGACTAACATAAGTAGACTAGGAAATTCCAAGTCAGCCTCACCTCACTTCCTCCTCTGATACGGTTACTACTCTAGAAGATCAGGGAATACAGTTAACATATTAAGTCACCTCTCAACTCAAGTCACAGAAGGAAAAAAGTCAGGGTAATAGAAAACGTCTGTTAAAACATAACTAATCAGCTCCAGGTAAAGATGGAAGAGTAAACACACTACATCTGCTTTTGCTCTCTCTTAAATTCCTCAAAAAAAAAAAAAAAAACACACACACACACACAT